CTGCCGGCCTTTTGAACTTCTCCGCAGCGTAGGGCAAGAAGGCTCGTATTTACCGTTTCCTTACACTCAGGTAGGTAAAGTCTGGTTTGGTCACCGAATTTGGGTGCAAGAGTGAAACAAATGTCTTGAAGGAACATAATCACGATTACTTTTTCACGGGTAATCTATGGGCTCAAAATTCACTATAATAGGGACATCGTAAAGGAACACAATTACGATTACCTCAGAAAATTTACGGGTAATCTATGAGCTCAAAATTTCCTATATGAGGGCGTTGAAGGGTTGAGGGCGGGATTTGAGGGCGGAACTGATGTAGTGGCAAGTGGTGCTGCTTACCACGCGCTGGTGCGGGGATCTAATCTTGTGTCATACGTTGTCCAAGCCCAGTGGACCTTACAGCCCCTCCGGATCGGGTGATTGACATGCTTGCCTGAGAGGAAGCACCGAATCGCACATCTGCTGGTAGTGGTTACGGTCATTTCTGCATAAATGAGACCCTCAGGCTTGGTCAGCGTCAGCGTTCGGGATGCGCCACGAATCAGACAAAGTTGCTGCTGATTGTGAAGCGAACTGCGCACTCCAGTGCATTCATGTCTTGGGCAGTGACTGTTGGAGGGTGCTAGTAATTGCTTTTTCCTCTCAGGGAAGTCGTAGCGAGTAGCAATGAAAGGCACCGTGAGCCTGAGTAGGTTCAATAGGTTCGGAGCTTGATCTACACCCCATGAATGACATCTCTTGAAACTATCCAATCTATATTTAATAAAGTATACTATACTACTGTGCTACACTTGGATACGGTTTATTTCAAAATCTCTTATTGTCGCAATTACAGGCCGATCGACTTAATTCACGGATTACAGTATGTTTACTAGCTTTGTCATCGGTACTGCTGTTGTCCTCACACTTCATGGGCGATCCGATAACATGCTGGACGCCCGCGCAATTCACGAAACAATGGTCGGTTTCTACTTCCGGAATAATAGTCACTCCCATAGATTTTTTTCTCGTACAATTATTTTCCATCGAATTCTTCCTAGAAGATTTTCTGATGTTGTTACTGATATGATCATAACGATACAGAGGCGTGACCTAAATCCGCTTTAGGAGGCACACGTGGAAACATGCGAGCGGCTTGACAACATAATCAGAAACCTCTTGTTTGCATGCTACCTCTCCCGATTAAGTACCATCGCTGGTCTTATGGGGCCAAAACGGGGCCAAAAAACTTGACAGCAAGGCGACCGCTCAGCGTGAGAATCGGTGGAGCAGCGCACATGAGGCGAGGTATGCACGGGGGCGGAGGACAGTTAAAAGTGTAGCAGACCCTGGAAAGTGCGCGATACGACATAGACATATTTCCTATTCCAATTTACTTTTTTGATAAATGGAAATTTTGTACTTTTCAGTGGCGTATGAGAAATAAGAATGCCCTTTTATGTTGTGGCGATCTCTATAAAATCATAGAGAGATAAGCGCACCGCGCTCTTGTGACGCGTGCAGTCGCAGGGCGGCAATGTTCGCTTCCACGCCGAAACTTTCCGGCTGTTTTAGCTATTGACACCGCAACTAAAACGTATGCTTCACTCCACATTGAGTGGAAGTTTGTCAGTCTGCCGCTTGAGTCTGATCAATCACGCCTTTATTTCAAGTTTTCAAATAGTTTTGGATTGGTCATCATGAAGAACTCGCTCTTGGTTAGCCTGTTTACCTATACAATCGATTTTCAGGTCAGATTTTGTTAATCAATATTGCTATGTTCACGGTACGTATTTCGTTTCACTGAACGAATCTCTTCCCTACAACGACTCAGAACGGCGGAA